AGCTGAGGTGTCAACTGATCACCACCTGGTACTGAGTTGGATCAGCTGTCGGGGGAAGTTGCCGGACAGACCCAGTAGACCCAAACACTACATGTTTGGGTCTAACGGGAATGCCTGGTAGAAGAACCTGTCAGAGAGATCTTCAAATCGCACTTACGAGAGAGCTTTAACCTCATCCCAGCTGAGGTGGGGGACATTGAGTCTGAGTGGGCCATGCTTCGTGCCTCACTTGTTGAGGTAGCTGCCTTGAGCTGTGGCCGCAAGGTTGTCAGTGCTTCTCGAGGTGGCCATCCATGAACTCGGTGGTGGACACCCAGGGTTAGGGAGGCTTTCAGATTGAAGAAGGAGTCCTAAAGGCCTTGTTGGCCAATGGAACTCCGGAGGCAGCTGAGGAGTACCAGAGGGCCTTGGCTGTTTCTTAGGTAAAAGCTCGGATGTGGGAGGAGTTTGGTGAGCCCTTGGATAGAGACTCTCGGTCGGCTCCAAGGAGATTCTGGAAAACCATCAGACGGCTGAGGAGGGGAAAACAGCACTTTACTAACACTGTATTCATTGAAGGTGGGCCACTGTTGACCTCAACCAGATATGTCATCAGGAGGTGGAAGGAATACTTCTCGGACCTTCTCAATTCCACCAGCACGTCTACAATGGAGAAAGCTGAGTCGGGGGACTTTGGGGTTGATCCGTCCATAACTGTGGCTGAGGTCAATGAGGTAGTTAAAAAGCTCTGAGGCGGGAAGTTTCTGGGAGTGGATGAGATTCACCCTGATTTCATTAAGGCTCTGGATGTTGTGGGGCTGTCTTGGTTGACACGTCTTTGCAACATTGCATGGACATTGGGGGCAGTGCCCTGGATTGGTAGACTGGGGTGGTGTTTCCTCTCTTCAAAAAGGGGGACCGGAGGGTGTGTTCCAATTATAGGGGCATCACTCTCCTCAGCCTCCCTGGTAAGGTCTATGCAGGGGTATTGGAGAAGTGAGTCCGATCGTTGGTCGAACCTCAGCTCCTAGAGGAACAATGTGGGTTCCATCCAGGCTGTGGCACACTAGATCAGCTCTTTACCCTCACTAGGGCCCTCGAGGGGTCATGGGAGTTTGCCCATCCTGTCTACATGTGTTTTGTGGACTTGAAGAAGGCATTCAACTGTGTTCCTTGGGGTACACTGTGGGGGGGTGCTCTGTGAGTATGAGATTGGGGGCCCTTTGCTATGGACTGTTCAGTCCCTATACAAGTTATGTGAGAGCTTGGTTCGCATTGCCGGCAGTAAGTCGGACCCCTTCATGGTGGGAGTTGGACTCTGCCAGGGCTGCCCGTTGTCACCTATTCTGTTCATAACTTTTATGGACAGAATTTCTTGGTGCAGCCAGTGGGCGGAGGGTTTCCAGTTCGGTGGCGTCAGGATTCCATCTCTGCTTTTTGTAGAAGATGTGGTCCTGTTGGCGTCATCGTGCCATGATCTTCAGCTCTCACTGGAATGGTTCACAGCCGAGTGTGAAGCGGCTGGGATGAGAATCAGCACCTCCAAATCTGAGGCCATGGTCCTCAACTGGAAAATGGTAGATTGCTCTCTCCAGATTGAGGGTGAGGTTCTGCCTCAAGTGGAGGAGTTCAAGTATCTTGGGGTTTTGTTCACGAGTGAGGGAAGAATGGAGCGTGAGATTGACAGACGGAGTGGTGCAGCGTCTGCAGTATTGCGGACTCTGTACCAGTTTGTTGTGGTGAAGAGAGAGCTGAGCTGTAAGGCAAAACTGTCTGTTTACCTGTCGGTCTATGTTCCTACTCTCACCTATGGTCACGAGCTCTGGGTAGTGACCGGAAAAATGAGATTGCAGATACAGGCGGTTGAAATGAGCTTCCTCCGCAGGGTAGCTGGACTCTCCCTTAGAGATTGGGTGAGAAGTTCGGTTATCTGGGAGAGACTCGGAAGAGAACCGCTGGTTCGGGCATCTGGTAAGGATACCCCCTTGGACGCCTCCCTAGGGAGGTGTTTTGGGCATGTCTGACTGGGAGGAGACCCCGGGGAATATCCAGGATACGCTGGAGAGACTGTCTCTTGGTTGGCCTGGGAACACCTTGGAATCCTCCCAGAAGAGCTGGAAGAGATGGCTGTGGAAAGAGATGTCTGGGCTTCCCTGCTCAAACTGCTACCCCCACGACCCGACTTTGGAATAAGCAGAAGATAATGGATGGATGGATGGACTCAGCTTTACTCTTATGATATGGGGAATGGTGGCACAGAGGTTAGAGAAGGTGAGCCTGTGATCGGAAGATTGCTGGTTTAGCTCCCGGCACCGACAACATCAAAATGTGGTGTTTTTTCTTTTTTACTTTTTTCAAAAGTATAAAAGTAAAAAACCTAAAAGTAACAACATTCATGTCTTTAATGAGCTGAATGTTTCAATATTATGTATGAATGGCTAAATTAGTACAAAGTATGCAGAGGTAGATTGCATATATAATTATAAATACATGTATGTATTATTTCTTCATTTCTGTCACCTGTTCGTGGTTTTATGACTCTTTGAGGGAAATAACTACACAACAAGCAACTTATTTAAAAGTTTTTATTTATTCCTTCCTACACATGTGCTGTTGACAAAGACACACCCTGCATACATGATGACGATCATCAGACACTGTTTGATATGACTTCTGCTGTTGTCAGAAACCAGGACAAATGTTGACACCATCAGTAGGAGGGAAGTGCAGCTTAAATTCAGTGCATTTGTTGCATCAAGAAGAAAACAGAAACAGCAGTAGTGCAACTTTCTCCACCACAGCTGAAGATGTAGTTGGGTAGTCTCAGCTAGTGTTTTGTCAGCACTAAACCTTGTATTGCATCCTGAATGTAGGTGACTGAAACACAAATAGTAATCATATTAATAAAAAGATTGTGCTTTGTTGAAAGATGATTTTTTTTTTTTTTTTTTTTTGGTAGGTATGTCCTGTAATAAAAAAAAAAAAAAAAAACGAGCATCAGAGTAGCTGATGCATTGAGGACTTAAGGTCTTATCCAGAACCAGGACTGTGCTTGGTGTTTCATCAGGTTTTAAACCTTGGACCTTCAGAGGTGACTGTGAGTGGAAGAGGTCGGAGTGCATCATAAAAAAAAGAGAAGAAAATACATGAACACATGCTTTCTGACTTCTTTGTTTAGGATTGTATGACTGTGGCAAAACCCTTTGAGTTTCTGTAAGAGTTTGCAGCTTCTCTGTGCAGTTCTTTTTAAATAATACTCTACAGTATTTACAGCTTATAGCCATGGTATTGCATATGTAGGTCATTTTGATGAGTGAGTACTCACAGGAGGAGGATCCTAAAAAGCCCTTCTGATGCAACAGGAGTAATATGTCATGCATATGTCAGATTATTTACATGTGAAGCTTTTTCAAGCCAAAGTCAGTAGGTATTGAATGAAGACTGATGTGTACATTACCAGTCTTCACTGACTCTTGTAGCCATGCTTGTTTTAAAGGATAAATAAATAAAATAAGACATACACTTTTCCCTTAACTCTTCCGTGTTGCACTCAAAGGTTTTATTACCACACGAGGACAGTGTTCATCCTCTGTGTTACTTCAGTGAGATTCAAACAAACTACAAAATATAAGTTTGTTAATTTAATAAAGGAAGGCTTGGTGTCTTATTTGTCTCTATTTGATCCTGTAATTGATTGGTGACCTTTGACCCTTGAAGACCCAAAAGTGAAATAAGTGAAGAATAAAAGGGGGATGAATAATAATGTTATTAATATGCATGTGTTTTTTTGTTGGATGTTTATTGTTAAATCTATTCAGGGGATATAAAACAAAGTTTATTTTTTCTGCAATCTGAACTTAACCTTTAGATCAAGTCATCTTTAGTTGTTATTGTTTTAAGGCTCATTTTGGGGTAATAATAATAATGATTTAACATCCCCTCAAATTCTAATGAGGAAATCATGTAAAAAAAATTGAGACAAAGGAATTGCTTTTGAAATTTTTGAGAAAAATTTACAATATTACATTGAATGTAAGAACATAAACCTTAGTTCTCTGTGCAACTTAATGGTCCCTAAGGATTTGTATAAATATATACATACATACATACATACATACATTTATACATACATACATACATATATATATATATATATATATATGTATATATATGTATGTATAAATGTACATATATACTGTATGTTTTATTGGTTCAGTTGGCTTTTGTTCATGTTTTAGAACTATAGTGTGAAAATATGATGAGGTTTTTAAGGTCATATTTCTGCAGAAAAATCAAAACACAAAAAATTTGGTTATGGGAAATTTTAAAACACACTAAACATTTGATAAATATGAATAAATCTTGAGGAAACTGGTTTGATTGTGATCTGTTTCTGGGCAAATCAGACTTTGAAACACAATTTAAATTGTTTGATTGCTAAACAAATATAACAACAACAATCTTTTAGGCATACTGAGAGATCAATAAATAAAGCAACATGTGAATACAGTAGTTAATTTGTGTTGTAATTGTTGTATTTTTTGTTTGAAATGCTTTTTTCCAAGGAGAACTGGTGCAGGATTTAACCCTAAAATGATCTGTGAACAGTTTCTATAAAGAAACCTTCCTGAGCTCAGAGTCTGTTTCATTTCCACTCACAGCCAGAATGCGTTTAAGCTTTTTAGGAAATGTTTTGAATGACATCTATGCAAAAATAACCAACTGGTTTTACTGGATGCATAAATACGGTAAATGAAAGATACAAGTTATTCAGGATGCTGAAGCACAATTCATTAATGAAAAAACATAAAACTCATTTCATTGTGCAGATTTTTTGTTTTGTTTTCTCATCAGAATAACTCTGACAGAATTGATTGTACTTTTCACAAAGCATTTGGTTAAACATCTGGAATGACAGCTCACTTCAAGCTGCACACATGGAAGACATACATAACTGATTTTCTGCTGCTCTCTGCAGCTCCTGACCGAGAAGGAAACCCTGCTCTGGAAGGACGTGTGTTTAGTTAGACTGACAGCTTTGCCTCGCCACAGTGTCTTGTACAAACATCCCTCGCCTTCACAGGTGTGTGTACAGTGTCTGCAGGAAGATGTAAATCAGCCTGTGCGTGTGCTTTGGACTTGGTGGTGTTTGAACACACCTGGGCCGGCTCATCACTGAGAGGAAGCAGGAGTCTGGATTAGTTTTAGGGTTCAGGGTGGGAGCAAAGAGTGGCTGCTTGGCTGGTTGTTGTAACCAGAGTGTGCAGCTGCAGAAAGCGGCCCTGAGTTGACGCTTGGCGTTGGGAAGTTCGGCCCACTGGGGGGAGTGGGGGATGACAGCAGGGAGTCAGTGGCACTTTTGTTTCTTGCAGTTTCATCTTCCACTTGCACCTTCTCTTGTTCTCTCTTCCTCCTCTTGGTTGTTTCCTTTGCTCCTGGTCCAGACTAGAGAAGGCAATGGTTGCTTTTGGAGAGATGAAGACTGCTGCTGCCCCCTGGTGGCACCTTGGACTCTGTGCTACAAGCCTCGACTGGTCTGACTTCAGCCAACAGCACAGGCTGATCCTGAAGGGATGCATGAGGGTCATCTTCAGAAGCATGATCAACAACAGAAACCAGAATGAAGATTTTTTTTAATTAAAAACAATTAACCCCTAAAGTGTCTCCTACTTACCTACATCTGTGGCTGCAGTCATTCTATCAACTCTTGAGTTTCTGAAAACTAGTATGGACAGAATAGAGATGGAGATTTAATAGAGAAGCTAGAATGTTTAAGGAAAATACTGTCAGCTGTCTGTTTGTACCTGCTGGCTGGAGTTAGCTGAAGGTGGTGTGACCACACTTTGGTCCTGTAAGGGGTTTGCTGGGGCAGAACAGGGGAGGTGCGTAGCTCGCCAGTAAATTTCCAGGTATTCTGCAAGGTGGTCACAAGCTTCTTCAAGTTGATTCTCATCCAGGATCACATCAAACATTTCCTGATGTGCCACATGAGGAGAAAGTTACAACGTGTATGTTCAAAACATTACTGAGATGGACATCTGTTGCATTTCAGATAGAGAGACATACAGGAGGACACTGAGCCAGCTTGTCCCCGGCCATCATCTGGACGTTTAGGTGTTTGCTTTGCGACTTTCCTCTGGACTTAATCAACCTCTGAAGAACCTGTCAAATGGACCAGATACCAACATGTTCACAGCAATTTTTAAAGCAAAAATGCAACAAGTTAGGTGTGCTGAGGAAGACACTCAGCTACTATTAAAGTTTAGCTCATTATTTGTAAAACTGACTGCACTAAAGTCATTTTTGTGTTTGATAAAGTTGATTATGGGGCAAACTTATAGCCAAAGCGGCATCTCAGAAAAAAATAAATTCTGATCAATTATACAATTTGGAAAATAGATTCAGAGAGTTGGAAAAACTACATAGCCAAACCAAAGACCCTAAGGCGGCCTGTTAAACAGAAGATAGATAAGATTTATAATGAAGACAAAGAGACAAACATACATGAAACAGAGGTTACTATAGAGGCTGGACCAAAAGCTGCAAAAGTGCTGGCATGGAAAATATGCAGGCAACGAGGAGAAAAGGCAATTCATACAATCAAGGAACCAAATACAAATTAAAAACTAAATAAAATAAAATTCATAGATCTTTTGAAAAATATTATACATCATTCTATACACAAAAAGGGGAAGTTAACAGCCATGAAACAGAGTTGTTTTTTTTGGCCACCGTCTTAAACTAAAGTAACTCCAAACGTTAATCAGTTGTGTGCACATTTTAAGAGTTTCATCAAAATCCTTCCAGCTATTCATGGGATATTTTGCTAACAGACAGACAACCAAACACACGCTCATGTTTGTCTGGCAACAGACAATAAAAATCAAATGTGCAAAATGATAGTTAACATGTAAAGTTCACAACAAACGGATACAATTATATAAGAAAAGCAAAGTTTAAGGTCCGGTTTAGTTTAAGGTTTTTCTGCTCATTAGTTCCTTGTCTATAAACAAAATCAGATATTTGTGTGCTTCAGCTTCAAATATAAAACCCCATAATTGTTTTTTTCCCCCTTGATGTTTCTGTAGACGTTTTTATACTTTAGGAGAGGAGACTTTGACGTAGACGATGATGGGAGCCAGGGATGTTTTGAGGAGCTGTGCCGGGTGGTTGATGGTATCTGCATCCAGGACGACCAGCTGAAGAGACTTGGCCAACTCAAAGATCCTCTCGATCTCACTCTGGACCTCCGCTGAGAACAAACCAAACAAAGTCCACAGCAGCAACATTTAGTTTGGACCTAAAGACAGAGGATGTACCTATCTTTAGCACCTATAACTCTTTAGTTAGGAGGAGCAGATCAAAGACAGCTGTTCTCATGTTCACCCAGACTGGAGCGAGTGTTGGATCTCTCCATTATGGCCTTCTTGTTCAGCACCGAGCGCTTTGCCAAGGATAGATCAGCAGTCACCCGTGTAATGGTGATCCTAAAGAAGAAGCGTCTTATCACATCAGACCCATAGTTGTTTCCATTTCACAGGTTGAAATTAACTCTCTCGCAGCTAAAAATACCGTCTCATCTGGTTGCACCTACCGCCCATGAAATGTGAGCGACAGAACACAATCAGCTCAGACACAGAGTTATTGAGCGCTGAGCTGCACAGACTCACCTGCCGTCAAATCTGTGCTTCAGGAAGTCGAACAAAGCTTTCTGCATCATGTCAGTCACCTAACAGGTAGAGAAATAGGAAACAGCAAAGAAACGTTTATAAATCAATCAAAAAGAAACATTTCAGAGGATTATTTGGGGAAAATATAAACTCCAAATAGCATCCAAAGTAGACCCAGACTGCGCTATAACAGTTGTTTTCCTTGAAGTAAATATATTTAGTTTATGCAGCTTATGGCTGCTTCAATCTACATGTTTGATTCATAGTTTTAGGCTTGTCAGACCATGAAACAACAATAAAACAACAAAAAGTAATTTAAAAAAAAGAGTTAAAGCAATGGAGCTGACTCTTTCCTAAAGGTTAAAAAATTTCAGTTTATAGTCAGGATCACAAAGGCTTGAAGTGAACTTAATTACTGAATGACAAAAGCCCCACCAGTCACAAGAAACTGGTTAGAAAGAGATTCCTGAATCTAAACCCCACCAAAGGTGAGCAGGTCAACTTGACTTACTTCTATTACACTGAGGTATTTTAATGGGTCACTTGAGGGCTACACACTGTCCCACCCCTTTGTTTAAAACTGGGATTACCATATATTCCAGCCTATAAATTGCACATTTTTGCTTAATTTGCATACCCTGCGATTATACGCTGAAGTGACTTATTTATGGATTTTCCATATTTATAAATCAATTTTTGTCTGAGATATGATGTTTTCATTCATTCTAACATAAAAAATATTAAACACTACAATTTTCAGCTGCTAGATGGCACTCGAGTAGTAGGGCATGCTGTTGTGTCATGTAATAGGTAAAATAGGCTATTAATGACACAATTGGCTTGCCTTCAATGTCACACTCGTACAGCTCCAGGATCATGCCCGGAGCGACCGTCAAATCAGCTTCATTTCACTGCGCCGCCCCGGTGAAATGAAGCTAATTTGACTATTGAAGTGCATTTATTAAGTAAAGGTTCAACTGAGACACACCTTTGCTATAATGTCGAGCAAACAAATAATTGTTTTAGGTGCTTATCTTGTTAAATTTCAAAGAAATGTGCAGAGTTCTTCCTTCCTGATTTCCGCTCCCAGAGCACCGAGGCAGCAGATACTTTTGAAATGCAGCTGATTTTACCATTAAAGTGCATTTATTAAGGACAAGTTAGACTGAGACACACCTTAACTATACTTTCGAGCAAACAAATAATTGTTTTGAAGTGTCAATCTTGTGAAATTATTTTTAAAGTCCTTCTGTGTACGTTCCTGCGGCCGCCATTTGGCAGCCAATCGATTTTTGGCACAACACCGGACCACATTTTCGGGTTGTCAGCGGTGAGGCATAATAGATGCGACTTATTTATGGATTTTTCCAAATTATTAGACATTTTTGGACAGATGCGACTTATAATCCGGTGCAATTTATAGGCTGGAAAATACGGTAACTGTGTGAATCAGCACTCTCTGTTAGCAAAATATCTCATGAAGCACTGGACAGATTTTAAATAAACTGTCAGGAATTGCTCAAGATGTTTGTTACAGCTAATCAGTCTTAGAAAACACACAAATAATGTAAATACAGTCAGTTTTACAGAAATTGAGCTACAGTTTGTTAAGAGTCATCCTCAACACATACTGAGCACCAACACATCTAACAAAATGTTGCAGTATCACATCAGATCTAATGACTTTTCAAAGGTTTTAATAAAATGACCATAACACCATCTTTTTTTCAGCATAATTGTTAAGATGATCTCAGTTTAAAACTCTGGAATGAAAGGCAGTGGATGACAGAAATGCAAGGCCTTTAAATGAGGTGCTGTGCATGAACTATGCATTTGAGTCTCACTTTAGGGAAAGATGTGCAGTTTCACCATAAAAGGAGGATTTAAAACTACTTCTTTGACTAGTTTATCTGTGTCAGCTCGTTGAGTTTTAGAATTTAAACTGACTCTAAATCATGGCTGTTCAATGCGTCATGCAACCACTAACAAAAGGCCTTGTTTGGACTCGTGAAAAGAACTGATTAATTCTGTTTTATATAAAAAAGCAGAAAACAAGACGTGCTTTCTAAAACGTGTATGAAGAGCAACAAGACCAGAGGATACAAACACAAATTATCTTTTACAAATGGTCTTGGGATTTAGTTGACTTTTCAAATATTTTGCTTCTCTGCAGTAAAGAGGCGGAGTAAACAGGAGCGGTGCAGAGAGGGAAGAAACGAGGCCATGATGAGAAGACTAAAGATGCATAACATGTGAATGAGAGAAACCAATCAGAGGAAGAAAGAGAACAATGAAGGAAAGAAGCTGAAGTTCACCACTGGAGCAAATCACCACAGCAGTGCATACATACTTCACACACACAAACAGTATGAGCAGAGGAGAGAGCGGAGGAGAGCCACGCCTCACATTTCAACATATTTGACAACCACATACTCATTCAACACATTCTGCAGAGTTACTGCGGTGTTTTTCATGCGAAACGTCCTCAGTAACAATGTTTGGGAATAACAAATCATACACATAGCTGAAATGACATGGAAATCATGAAGTTGATGCTGCGTGTGCTACAGTTTCAGAAAAAAGTGACTGCAATGTTTGCATGTTAATGAGATTCAGCAGGAGAAACACCAAACTCCCACTGGACTCCAAAATCCACTCCAGATGAAACCGGAACAGCAGCAGAGAGAAGAAAATCCTCCTAAAACTACACTCCAAGTCAAATATATATATTTTAAAAAGGGTTGTTCTGTTCTTGTTTATCATTCCAACAAAAAGCCCATTTCCAAGTAGCAGCAGCACTTTGTGGGATTTGGATTTGAAAAACTGAGAAAGTGATTGAGAATGCAAGTTGATTAAAATAAAGTTTTAGTCGTTGCTGATGCAAATACCAGTGCATTTGCTGCTATTTTATGTTTTTATATCAGTGAGCAAAAAAAAGTGTTTTTTGAGCAGGTTTTGTCAAAAGATGATGATTCAGTCATGTCAGAAAACTGTTCATTTGAAATAAAAATACATAATTAAAACATAATTGTCCGATCAGTACTAAAACTTTTTAGATATTCCAATTCTGGACCAAAGAAATGTCCACCATAAAAACTTTGTGTTCTGCTGGTGTTTGAAAATGCAGCTTTAAAGAGCGCTCAGGTTATTGTAATGAACGTGGATATGGTTTGTTTTAATAATAAATTATAAAGTGCTATATGTTGTCATCATTGTATGTTCCCATACTAAGATGAAGTTGGCTCTCTGCATTTAACCCATCACACCTGGGATACAGTCAGGTGGAGCAGTGGGCAGCTATGTAAGCGCCCGGGGAGCAATTGGGGATTGGGTGTCTTGCTCAGAGACACCACGACACGTGGGATCAAACCAACTTTCAGGTCCCGAGTCGGCTGCCCTGCTTCTACCCCATCTCAGCCCCTTCGATGGGGAGAGATAAAAAGTAATAAACACATAATTATTAGTGATTTACTTAGGATTTGTTGTTCTTCTTAATATATTCTGTATTAGTGTGTGTTTCAGTGAAAATAAAGATAAGAAACATGATTTTTTTTTTATTTCATTCCAAGTGGAACAATATATTCCCAACCTCTACTTTGGGTCAGGGCATTAAATTAAAAGAAACATCTTTTTTTTCCTCATTCGCTTAGTTTTTTCCTCCTGATTTAACGACATAAACTTTTAGTATTTGTGTGTAAAATCTTTGTATGACGTCAGTGCTGAAATCTGACCCCAAGAGAACAAACATTTGAACTGTGTTAATGAAAACTAAAGCCAGTTTTGCACAAAGGTTTTACAGTGCAGTCCCAGAACATTCTGTTCATTAAAACACTCACACAACACCAAAAAAAAACAAAAAACAAAAAAAACTGTAGTATGAGTTTTTATAACTGCTTATTGTTGTTGCTGTTGTCCATTGTTGTCATCTTTCTTTGTTGAAATCAGGTCTCTCTTGTAAATGAGTCCTCGAGGCTCAATGAGATTTACCTGTATAAATAAAGGTTGATTGATCATTGTGTGAATTTTCTAGAAAACTCTTTAGTCTTTAATTGCTTTTTTGGGATCCAACTCAAGTGCATTTTGGAAGTTGACTGTCTTCGGACTGACTATCTTATTAAACTTTATAAGTAACTTGATCATGCTCCGTGTTTGACCACGTTCACACTGAGTGTGGTCACACATGTGAGGTAAAACATAATTCGGCAGAACACCCCCTAACTGGTTGCAGAGCTGCCTGCGATGATGACTGACTCACCTCGTAACCCTTCAGAGACGGGCCCACCAGGACCACTGGCCTCATGGAGGGAACCACGTCATAAGGAGGGACATGCTCAGTCTGCACAGGCCATAAAAGCAGACAAAAGTGGGAATTAACAGTTCTATAATTCTACAAGCAGATCAAGTGTAAATATAAAACAAGTACAGCTCAGTATAAATACAAATATGCTGCGATGCATTGAAGGAAATGAGCTGTCCTCATTAAGGTGAAGGGCGGGTCAGGCAAAGAGAGAAATGCAAACTCACCTGTTTCTGCTTCTGTTTGGCTTTTAGAATAAACAGAATGGATATAAAAACTGAAAATCTAATCATAAAGCTGTAGAACAAATATATTTGGAGTTTCAGCTTTTGTTCACACTTTGAGCCTTTTGTAAAGATAAAAAGAAAAGCTCATTACTACACTAGTAAAACCATTTCACTCCCAGGACTCTTTCACCTACCTGCAGATGGAGGGGTGGACCTCCAGCCTCCCGATGACGCATTGCCTCCTTTCCTGTGGAGCAACGTAATGCAAAACTTCATTATGCGTGAATCCCCCTAAGGTAGCAATTTAAAGGCTTCCAAACCAGCTCAACACGAGCTACTTCTGTCTTAAAGAACTTTCAAAGAGTTTGAAGGACGGACAGAAATACAGAAGGAAGGAGAGGAATGATTTTTAAAAATCCTCTCAGAGCTGCGTGACCTCTGACCTTGCAGCTGCTTTTTGTTCCTGTTTTATCCTCATGGCCTCCAGTTTTACTGGGCTCGGGATGAAAGTGATGTCTGCCCCTTCCTTCACCAGCCGACCGATCCACCAGTCATTGTTGAATTTCTGCAGAAAAAAAACATTTTAAGGTTCAGAGTTTAAGTTGTAAAATGAGTTGATATTTGTTAATACTGATATTTCTCTTTAGTTTGTCTTTGCTGGTGTTACTGTTTCTCACCTCTTTGATGTGCAGAAAGTCTTTGGTTTCAAAGTTTATAGCGGCCCCTTGGACTGGACAGTCCTCATCAAGGGCCCCGCAATAACTCACGTTGGTTTTTACTGCAAACGCCACCGGTTTAGACTGTGGGAAGATAATGAAGTTTAAAATAATAACAATAAAAAAAGACAAGATAAATAAATCAAATTCACAAAGAGCACTAAAAGGCTAGTTTTATTTGTCTCCTGCAGCCTGAAGGTGAATATAAAGGTATCAAACTGTCGACTTCTGTGCTCTCACCTTGGCTCTTTCCAGCTGCAGCTGAGCCTGGCGCTCGGCTTCACGCCGAGACGCCTCCCGGTCGTCCTCCAGGGACAGGTCGGAATCAGTAGGTCGACTAGTGTAGGAATCGGCTGAACCCTGAAAGAAGCACGAGAATAAAGCTTTAGACGGAGCATCTACTTTGTCTTTTACGTCCTCCGTGTCTTTCCCCATTGTTCACCTGTCTCTGCAGCTGCCTGTTCTTTCCTCCAGCTTTCCAAAGCAGCTCCCTCAGGGGAACAATGTGCACGAGTACTGCAACACTAACAACCTACAAAAGCCTCGGTGTCTGTTTATCCACTCAGACAGAGACGGCACATCTTGGCAGAAGTCCAGTTTGCAACTAAACATGCTGAAATTAACATTCTGAATTCAAAATAATGCTATTTTTAAAAAAAAAGCAATATCTGGCTTTGTGTTGAGTCAGAGCAAACAAAAGATCCCCTGAATTTTAATGATAATAACAATAAATAATATTAGCACAACTCTAAAATACCTGCCAAAAATAAGATAATGAAAGAAATGAGCTTCTTTTCAAAGCAAGAAAGAATATTTGACGTGATGAATCAAAAAATAAACTTTATTCGTATTGTAAAACTGACAATACTCACTGTAAATATTCCACACCTGTTCTCTCAGTCCATCAGGAGCCTGCTCTCTCAGTTGGCTATGAAACTAGCAGAGGACCCATATCTAAAAAACAGCTAAATATAACTACTTCACAACGTTGTGCTACTTTCCTTTTCTTTTTTATTTTCTCCCATCTGGCTTTTCCATTTTTGCCTCCTCCCTCCATCACCTTCCTCCTGCCTTTTCTTGGTTTCCAAACAAACCATGTCAGATTATTCCCAAACAGATTTAATAAGCATTATTTGTAGATCAAAGCCTCCCAGAGGTGGACCAGAGTCCACCAGCAGAGAAAACAAGATGCTCTGCAGATGGATGATGAGTATAGTTGGTAAAAATATATTTTTCAACACTTTTACCAACTGCACTTACAAAAACACACAAACCCTTTTCTGTGTTTTGATGCGGCGGCAGAGGAATCATCATTTTCTCCTTCGGCACAGTCGATGTCCTGCAGAGCCTCTCTCATCTCTTTTTTAACACTTCATAAATGTTCTGAGTCACAGTCTGTAAACGTCTGCAGACTGGAGTGCATCAGTCACTATTTGCAGTCAGATCTTTAAAAAGAATACTAAAGTAAGAGTCTAATACGATCACAGGGATGGAACAATGTCAGAATATCCAACAAACTCTCAGGCCACCGTGTTTCCAGACGGCTTTATTTTTCAAACAGACATCCTCCTCACAAAGCAGCCCCGTCTTCCTCTGGGAGAAAACGAGAAACAGAAATGACACTGAGAAATCCCTCACATGCTGGAAGTCTCATAAGAGACTGAAACATGAGACGATGACGCAGCAGCTGCAGGCTCTCTCCAGTAGAGGGGAGCACGTCCACACCACAAATTATTCATTTATTATGAAGGTTGTAGAATCAGCTGTGAAGGCTACTGATGGAGCCAACACTTCAGCCCAAAGCCCAGTGTTTGAATAGAACTGTTCAAAACAGCATAAATGTATAATGTTTCTATCCCTTATGACAAACAACCTAGCTGTTTTTTTTCTTACATTTTTTTTTACATGTTTTATTTTCACTTGTTAAAGTAAATTTAAAAAATTCTCAATCTGTATGCATCCTTCATGATTGTCTATATTGTCTTTGTTGTCCTCTGTTGTCATCACTCTCAGGTCTCTTTTGAGTCCCTGAAGCTCAATAGGATTAACCTGTCTAAATAAAGGTTGAATGGAAAAAAAAAACTGACCCCCAAAAAATCCCCAAAAAGCATAAATTTACTGTTTTTTTGCATGTGGGAAACATTGGATTTTATGAACATGCTAAAAATGTTTACAAATCACGACAAACATGTGTCGAACATGTGTTTCACATGTTGATTTAACATGTTTTCACATGTGAAGTACATGTCATTTCTCAGTTAGGGGTTGGTTTGATACTTCTAAAGCAGAAGCAAAAATTCATCCCATCTTTTTGTTATTGTAAGTCTGAAAAAAACACAACTTTAAATGGTCTGAGTGTTATATATCCACTTTAATCTACTTGTTGGTGAGTCCACATTTCAAATATAATTTATTTAAAATGTATTTATTTAATTTTCTTTGTTCGGCTGCTCCCTTCTTCAGGGGTCACCACAGTGAACTAACTCACGTGAAGACTTGGCAATTTTATTTTTTATTTTTACGTTGGATGTCCTTCCTGACACAACCACAGACCACCGAGCTACCACAGCCTTCACCAATCCCTCCAACATTTTGATGTTGTCATTATCGGGAGTTGAACCAGCAATCTTCCGATCACAGGCCCACCTTCTCTAACCTCTGCACCACCACTCCCCCTATTTCAAATAGAAAAATAACAACAACAAAAAAACAGTGGTGGGACACAAACTTAAAAGAAGATGCACAAAATAATATAAATTATATAAAATAATTATATTAGATGCTTACTTATTATAATGAGATGAGGTGGATAGAATTATTTTTAACTGGGGCAAAACAGACATAAAGTGCATGTGAAAAACAATGTGAGGAAGAGAGGAGAGGGACATGTGAGGAGATGCTGGTAAAGTGACCGGACTTGTGTTGTAAACAACAACAAAGTATAAATGTGTCAGAGCAGAGATTCAGGGGGCTGAGAGGAGTTCACATGCAAAGTGATGGAAAACAGAAAGATACCTTGTTGATTAGTCCTGAAGCGCTGGAGTCGGAGGCAGACATGATTCTGCTGCCAGCACTCCCTTCTCCTCACAGCTCAACATCAGAGCCCTCCTCCCATCAGCCCGTGGTTACAGTGGAGGAGAAATGAGAGGGAGGCGCTCCGCCTAAGTGCTCCGCTGCATCAACAGTCATCTCCTATACAAAATTGATGCCCTGGCTGCAGCACTGATGCGTGTGTGTGTGTTTTGCTTTCATCCAGGCCTCATGATAGGGAAAAACGCTGACTTCTATCACCTTATTATTTTTTTTATCCAGTCCTCCTTATGCCACAGATATATTTCTCTCTCCTCAGCATCACAACCTTTAAAGTTTTTTTTTTTTTTTTCAAATATATTCCTCCCTCATGTCTGTCAATGCTTTGATCCTGCAAATCAGGGTTTAATTTTGTTTTTTGCTCTCACAATGAGCATCGTTTTTATTAAATAAACTATAAATATAGGATGAAGAAAGACTGGGGCAAATAATTTTAACAGTGCACTGTAAAATGTAACATGCTTCAACTTTAACACACGAGTGAATGAGTTGTATTAAAATTCAAAGTTTACTGAACAAACAAATACTTCTGTTAACATCACTGTATGTTCACTGGGTTAAAATCCCTTCTGTATTTTTCTGTCAGCTTTGTTGCTTACAGTTAACAAAATTTACTTCTTAGGCTTTTAAATCAATTTCAGTTCAATAAAATAGTGAGTGATCTAAACTTCGTTTTAAACGTTGTTTCTTCGTTGGTCTGGATTACTTAACTGAACTGCTTATTATAATAGTTAAATCTGGAAAGCTATTTTAAGCCGGATGAAAGTGAGCGACCATCTGAATGGGAATTATTCAAATGAATTAAAACAACTTAAGATGAAACTCAAAAGTCTATTTCAACACGTTAAATAAATTTGTCTTGGCACAAAATTTTGCTTCAAATTTCACAAACCATTATTTGATTGATAAAAAATTGTAAAGAAATAGTCTGGTCATTTTGAACTGATGTTCTGTCAAATATTTATCAATAGTTAGTTTCATATCAGAATATACTATGGAGGAAGGGGCAAATGTTTTCCTCCAGGCCATCTGCGAGCAAAACAAAGCTTAGTTTTTAAAACTGATTTTCAGGCTAATTAAACTCCATCCATCCATCCATCCATCCATCCATCCATCCATCCATCCATCCATCCATCCATCCATCCATCCATCCATCCATCCATCCATCATCTTTACCTGATTTTTCCTTTTCAGGTCACAGGGGTCACTGGTGCCCATATCGCGCAGTCACGGTCAAGAAGCGAGGGACACCCTGGACAGGTCTCCAGTCCATCACAGGGACACATAGAGACAAACAACCATTCACTCTCTCACTCACACCTAGAGACAATTTAGAGTTACCAATCAGCCTAACATGCATGTTTTTGGTCTGTGGGAGGAAACTGAAGTACCCAGAGAAAACCCACGCATGCACAGAGAGAACATGCAAACTCCACCCAGAAAGGTCCCCGAGGCTTCAATCAGGTGACCTTCTCGTTGAGAGGTGGCAGCTAACTGCACCACTGTGGCTACAAAACAACTAATTTTTTACAAATGACAGACTGGTGTGAAACTAATTAGCTATTATTAAACCTTTACATTTTTCATGTTTAGTTAATCACTGTTTAAATGTTTGCCTGCAGACCATAGACAGTGCATGTAAAGGAGGTGCTTAGAGGTGGGTGAATGTATCAGTCCACTGGTAGTTGAGTACGTTTTTGGACTGACTACACATGCAGCTTAGTTGGACTGATCCATATATGTATTTTTGATAAAGAGTTCTTGTATACGCCTGAAAAACAACATTCATTTGACTAGCCATCAGCCAAGACGTCTGTTTTTATTCTCCATGCTCTATCTATGCTGCTGATAAGATGCTATTGATAACTATTAGACAGAACATAACTTAAAAAAATGACCATACTATCCATTAAAATCTTGAAAATGATGTGCTGTGTGGTAAAACTATCTTAAACCCTTTGAGAACAGGACACAGAGCAAAGGCGTTTTATACGGTGGCCCTAAGGTGTAAATGAACAATTATTTCCACAACTTTACTAATGGTTTGTCCAAATGACTTTTAATGATAAGCCGAAACAATAAACAAGCTAAAACCAATTTTACTGTGTGATTAAACCATCACAGTTCCCTTTTCCCTTTTGATATATAAGAAAGGTAAAAGAGAGGGTGGAACAATATGTGGAACAGAGCGCTGGACGTAAAAGAAGAGACACAAACAGGGCATGTGTAACGTTTCTGTTCGCCTGTCCTGCAACATCCAACTGACAGCAAGGTGATGCATGAGCATACAGAACACAAATGAAGTGGTGAGTCAGCAAGCAGCCATGTAGAGTCCATCAGAGGTC